CCCTACTTTAAATAGGATCAGAAATATTGATATAATTTAACTGAAAATCAAAAAATATAAAAATATAAATAGATAAATATTTGATTGATTTCTTTGATTTTTTTGTTTGCAAGTTATAATATATGAAAGAGTAAAAATAGTTCAAATCTTATTATGAAAAATAATCCATCAACATTTTAAAAAATAGATATTTGAATAGTAAAATAATTTTAAAAGTAAAAATTAATCAAATTTAAATAGGAATAAGAAAACTAATAAAATCAAAATATGTGATAAAATTTAATTGTAAATCAAGTAACAAAAACATAAAAATTCAATTAAATAAACGATATTCTTCTCGATCAATAGTTTTTCATTAACATTCTTACTTTGATGTTAATAGGTGATCTGATTTTGTTCATCACAATTATATCTTTTTCCGACAGATTTATAAAAAAAAAAATCATAAACCCGCATATATTATGGTCTTTCATCTAGTATATATATATATATATATATATCACATATATTACGATTTATAATATACTACATTTTATGAACAAATTGTTTATGGATACTTTTTGTTTATATATATATAGATATATATGTGTCTATCTTTTACATTTATAGCAAATTAAAAGGAACTAAAATAATGTATACTAAGTACAAAAATATTTATACAATAACTTTTTTATGATCAAATACTTATACAAATAACTATTTTTTAATTTATAGATATATTATTTCTATTTTTAGATTTTAAACATTTTTTTGTAAATTAAGAAGAATTAAACTATGGTTCGATTCAGTTCGGCTATAGAAAAAATTTGGTTTGTATGTAAAGTTTTAGAAAGAAATGATGTTTCGATTTGGTTTTTAGTAAAAATTATTACAACAACCATGGTATGGTTAGTATAACAATAAGATAAAATGTTATGATCATTAATATGTGAAGCTAAACAATTATAAATGTATACAAAATATTTATAACAATTAAATTATTAGCAAATTAAGAAGAACTAACCCCGAGGAGGAGTTTTAAGCCTAAGGAAGCCTAATAATGCCGTGGACCATTATTCGAAAGATTGAATGAAGAATAAAGTGAACTAGTTTTTCGGTTTAGCCGGGGCGGGAGTGGAGATGTGACTTAA